GAGGGGGAATGGCTTTAAACTGGAAGAGGGCAGGTTTAGATTAAACATTAGGAAGAAGTTTTTCACTTTAAGGGTGGTAAGGCACTGGAACAGGTTGCCCAGAGAAGTTGTTGAGGCCCCATCCCTGGAAGTGTTCAAGGCCAGGTTGGAGCAACCGTCTAGAGGGACATGTTGCTGGCCACTGAAATGAACGATAGATGCTCTCTCCCACCTCTCTATCCAAGGAGACAGAGAAAAACATTTATGAGTTAAAAAAACCCACCCTGAACTACTTTAATGAAAAATAATAAAATAATAAAAAAGAAAAAAATTAAAAATATACACTATATATAAAACTGTATCAAGCTCCCAGGATGATTATCATGTCACCAGCTGGCACTGGAGAAGTCCCAGACTCGACTCAGTGATGGACGGGAACTGAATTCCAGATCTGGATTCAGGATCGGGATCAAAGGTAGACAAACAGACAGTCCTCCTCGGATGCCAGCCATGGAAGAAAGAGGGCTGACCCTTTGATCCCTCAGATTTTATAATGAGCATGAGGCAGATGGCATGGAATACCTTGTTGGTCGGTTTTGGGTCACCTGTCCTGTCCACTCCTCCGCACAGGTGCAACCTCTCTACGCTTTTCCTCTTCCAACCCTCCAACAGGGCACACAACAAAGTTAGCTGACCTTAGTTGTTATAGCAATAAGTATAAGCAAGAGCCTCTGTGCATACCATTCCTTGGCATAAACTACAGCTAATCGGGTCTTATCATTCTGGGAGTGGACTACAGTCTTAAAAATATGCTGTTAATTTCAGAGAGTTCAGTTTGTTAGAAGAGGCTTATCTGTAAAGTAAAATAACTGAACACAATATCAGTTCTGTTTTACCTCAAACCAGGACAATGATCTTTAAGGTCCCTTTCAACTCTAACCATTCTATGATTCTATGATTCATCACCATCCACATGGAAAAGCAGCAATGTGTAATAATCCGAGGGCTGTACCAGGCTAGAAAGTTTCCTATTGATGTCTTTAACCCGGGCCACAGGGACACAGCAGACTTCCCTAAGAGGAGGGTCTGTCCAGCATATTGGACCTTCTGTTGCCCTCAGAAGGGAGTTGCTTACAACTATAACATGTCTTGTCTTCCTTGTGGAGGTGGTCATGATACAGGGGGTAGGCCTTTCTGACCCTGGCAACACCTCTGATGTTGATGGACCATTATCCACATCATCCACTGACTGGCCTTCCACATGCAGATCCTCATAACTGTTGTACAGTGGCACCTGGGAAGGCGAGGTGGGCAAGGAAGGGGTTCACCTTCCGCCCCAAGCATGGACTTGCCTCCATTCATGTCTTTCCTTTAAGCTATTGTCTTCTGCCTGGCAGGTGGACGATACAGGATCCCCTTGATCTTGATTTTTTTTTCTGGTGGCTGTTCCTGTTTCTGTCTCAGCGAGGGCAGAACATGATTCCACCAGTCTATCTTTCTCAAACTCCCTGATGCTTCTTAACCTTTCTACTTGGGCGCTAGATTGAGGCAGATGGGGAGGTTCCAAGAGCCAGGGAAACCCAAGGAGCAGCAGAGAGCCCTGCCAGGACCCTGCAGCTCTTGTGACTGAGGCTGATGTGGTTTGGGCGTTGCCAGGAGCAACTAGGGAGTGCTAGCGACCAGAAGCGCTGCGAACAAGGTGGGCAAACAGGGCGTAGCACATCAGCCGTGGCATGGCACAGCAGTTTGCGTGGTAGTTCATGTGGAAGGTCACGCAGGAAGGGTGCTGAAAGCTCTGCCAGCTCAACCAGGGAGCGATATTATCCACCTGGCAGAAAGCCAAGGCTTCTCTAAGCTCTGCACCCACCACAACTGATGCAGCTTCCCAGACAGAGCTCCAGTGGGAACATGCGGCCACCCAGGTGTCAGGCTGCAGTATG